TGCACCGGCTCCGCCGTTTGATGACAAGTGCGAGTACGCTTCGGATGACGTCCTTCTTTTCTGGGAACCTCCGTCTGTGTTCTCGCAATGGAATCCTTCGGCTTTTGACGTACTGGGGGTACGTTATTTACGTGGTGAGCAATTTATGATGTCTGAAGAAGCGAAGTTGTTTGGAGATATGACGTCGTATGACCAAACTATGGCGGTAACAGATCCTAAGATACACAAGGTTTTGGGTCGAAACGTGCGTCCTTTCGACTGTGCTGAATGGGAGCGTCGTCGTGAAGAGATCGTGCTTACGGGGTCGTATGCCAAATTTGCTCAAAACCATGACATGAAACATCATCTACTGGAGACGGGTACCCGCCTCCTTGCAGAAGCCAGCCCCTTCGATCGTGTTTGGGGTATCGGCATGTCTGCATGCTTTCCAGATGCTAGCGATCTATCTAAGTGGGCGGCTAGCGGTAAAAACTTGTTGGGAAAAGCTTTGATGGAAGTTCGACGCCTTTTGCGTGATCATCCCCTGTCTGGCGAAGATTTCCCCGCTTCCAATTCTCCCACGCCCCCTATTTCGCAGCCTTCTCTCCATGGACATCGACGCATCCATCAGGCTGCTACCGCTACAGGTTTTTCGCTACGGAAGGACCCGAGCGAAGACCCAGCTTGTGNATTTCGCAGCCTCCTCTCCATGGACATCGACGCATTCATGAGGTTGCTACTGCTACAGGTTCTTCGCTACGGAAGGACCCGGGCGAAGACCCAGCTTGTCTACGTTTGGACGCTCCGGGGGACCATGCTCCTGGCGTTCATCTGGTGGCATCGACCTCCGCTTGTGCAGACCAGCCTCCTCTTCTCGAACATGGGCCCGATCTGGTCGGCGGCACGCTTCTGTTGGACGCGGACGCATACACCACCCGGGTCCTGCTGCATGGAGGATCTGCAGCCACTTCTCAACTCGCCCGAGTGGCGCTTCTGGACTNTTCTCGAACATGGGCCCGATCTGGTCGGCGGCACGCTCCTGTTGGACTCGGACTCATACACCACCCGGGTCCTGCTGCATGGAGGACTTACAGCCACTTCTCAACTCGCGCGAGCGGCGCTTCTGGACTCTGGGTCTCCTGCATCCTTCGTTTCCGACTCCGTGGTCACCGCCATGATAGCTGCCGGAGCCCTGACAGCTGGCAGCGTTCGTGTTTCGCCCTCTCGTCGTTGGGGTGTGTTTGGTGATGGACCCGCCCTTGTGACCACCCGGTCAATTCGACTCAACGTCAATTTTCTCCATGGAGATAGAGCTACCGCCTCCTTGGCGGTCTGGGCCTGTGTGGTTCCAGACGCCGCCGTGGGGCACGCCGTGCTTCTGGGTCGTGATAGCTGGATGCGCTTCAACTCTCGCGTGTTCACCACCCTCCCCCACCATGGACCGGACGGCCGGGTTATGGACGAGGTCACGCTCTCTCCGCGTATTCCAGCTGGCGCTTGCGTTTACGCTACACACGACGACGCTCCTGCCTCCTCGTTTCACCTTAAATATGCAGGGAGCTCGGGAATTTCTTTGGGGCCGGAGCCTGCACTCGTTGAGGTGAACCTCGTTCGTTCTTCTGGCATGCCTGCGCTGATTGGAGAGTATCTGGTATCGTTCAAACCCGAAGTGGGTGCGCTTTCGTCCCCAGATGCGTCCGTTTTCAATGGTCCAGCGTATTCCCCTTGCAGGTTGTGCCGAGCTCGAGTCGGGAGAAGTCATTGGAGTGTCTTCCGCGCCGCTACTACGAGTACCTGTGAAAACCCTGAAGGCGGCACCATCTTCGATTCCTGCCGACCCCACAACATCTACATCACCACCTCGGGTCAACGCCGTTGGCCCCAAGTCCGGGACTCACCGCTCTCCGGACCCAGCCTCCGCCCCGCCTCCTCCGAAGCCGCCTCCACAAGAACTACTTGACCGCTTCTCTGAGGCACAGCGCTCCAGCTTCATGCGCTTGTGGGCTAGGCTGCCCGCACATATGCACGACATCGCTTTCGATCTACACAATCCGGGATGGACACCGGAGGCTATTGATCGTTTGGCCGACGCCCTTGTGGAATATTCTGACGTGTTCTCTACTTCGAAAACCGATTTTGGTTCCTGCACCATCATGCCGTTCACGCTTTCTGTCCCAGCAGGGACGAAGCCCGTTGCATCACGCCCGTATCGTATCAACCCGTTGATGCAAAAGAAAGTGGATGCCGTTTTGGACCAGCATTTGGCGGCAGGGCTCATCCAACATTCCACATCTCCGTGGGCTTCTCCTTTAGTTGT